AAGAGAGAGAATTCATAGATACAGAGAACAGATTGGTGGTTGCCAGAAGTGGAGCATGGAGTGAGTGAAATAGGTGAAGGTGGTCAAAGGTACAGACTTCCAGGAATAAGATAATTAAGTCCTGGGGCTGTAATATACAGTAAGGTGACCATAGTTAACACTACTGTATTGTATATTTGAAAGTTACTAAGAAACTAGATCTTAAAATTTCTCAACATGCAAAAAATTTTGTGAGTATGTGTGCAGATTGATGCTAACTAAACTTATTGTGGTGGTCATTTCAAAATATATACATATGTCATATCATTATATTGTATACCTGAAACTAATATGTTATATGTCAATTAAATTTCAATTTTTAAAAATCCATATAAGAGAAAGCATGACAAACACACACACACACACACACAAAGCAAAGAAAAAGCGTAGTAGCTATAAAGTGCAAAAAAGATAATAGGAAAAACTTCTAAGCATGTAGTAATCACAATAAATATAAATGGATGAACTCCACTGATAGACCACTGGCTTTTTAAAAATGCAGATATAAGCTGCTTACTAAAGACATGCTTGGAATACAGAAAGGTTGAAATTAAATATGTAAAAATAGATGAGTCCAAAAGAACTCATTAGGAAAAAAAGTGGGTCACACCATAAGGACAAAAGTATACCACCAAGAACATGTAACAATTCTAAACTTGTTCTCAACTAACAGTCTCAGAATACAAAGTAAGAATGGGTAAAATTACAAGAAAAAAATTAAAAATCCACTGTCAAAGGGAGATTTTAACAAAATTACCTTAGCAACTGATAGATCAAATGGGTTAAAAAAAAAGTAAAAATATAGAAAATTTGAAAAATAAAAATATAACAAACAAACTTGATGTAACGTATGTGTGCATAGACTATTGTATATATTATCTAAAATTATTATATATAATATCTGTTTGATATTATACTATTATATACATAGATATCTGCTATACATAGATATCAATATTATATACATACATATATACATAATTGATATTGTATGTATATAATATATAGTTACAAGTACAGTTAATATGTACTATATATATGGGTCTGAAATAGACAATAAAATTTTAAGATTTGATAAAACTGGGTAGTGGATACAGTGATATTTGATACACTATTCTCCATACTTTTCTCTTACTTGCTACGTTTTGTAATAAATTTTAAAATTCATAATTATTCACAAGAAAATACACAATTGAGCACTAAGGCTGAATTTCCTACTTTGGCTTCTACAGATGCCTGACACAGAAACAGGACTGAGTCCAGATGTTCCCGCCTTTCACAACATTTCCATAAGTGATGTCACCAGCAGGACAGCATCCTAGCCACTGGCATGGGGACAGAATCAGACCAAGAATGTACCCAAGTAAGGTAGGTGTAGTATATATGAGGACAGAGATTCTCAACCCTGTTCCCCCTACAACATATCTGAGAAAGGAAAGTCACATTTGAAAAGCAAACAAACAGACAAAATACATGAGAGGGTAAATCTGGTCCCTGCTACTCCTTCCTGGCTGGCAGTGATGTTTGATCTGGGTGTTAACTGCGGGAATGTGAGGATAAACTGGAAGGGGTCCTCCACAGGCTTCATTTATGTTTCTTTGAATCTCTCCATCCTTCACACATCGCTGCATGATATTAAGTGGATTTCACCGATTCCTGAGCTAAGTTTGGCCCTTCCCAAGCCAAATAGAGTCTAAAGTCTGACTCCTCATTACTCCTTTTATAGCTCCTTTAGTGACCACTGAGTAAGTCAGTCCTGCACAAAACATGTGCTTTAAAAAAAAAAGTATCTGCAGAGCTATAGATTGAAAAAGACTTTAAAAAGGCATGTAGAAAATGAGTAAGGTTCAACCACCTGTCTAGGGATGCACACTATTTATGTCTTTTTTTGTCCTTAGTATAAAAGTAAGGGCAGTGGTTACTTTTGGAGGAATGGGAAAGCTGTAACTGGGATTGGACACATGGAAACTTCTGCATGGCTGATGATCTATTTCTTGACATGAGTGGTGGTTACAGGAATATTTTATAATAATTCATTTGCCTTAAGGTGGTGTTCTGCATTTTCATGTCTTTTAAACATTTTTTATTGGGGTATCCAATGAATGAATGAATAGGTCTGGGCACAGAGCATCAGTGGTTTCTAACATCCAAAAAGAGAGACATCTATACACTGTGTGCCCCATGATGGCAGCGCACACCACCTGTGAAGTAGTGTTGTTCACAGATGAACCTGAATCTGATCATACTTCTAGATCCAAAACCAATTTATAGGACGGAAGAATACTTTAAATGGCACTACAGGAATATAATCAGTAAACTGCTGACTGTAGGATATCTGCAGGACAGGTGAGGGGAGGAGAGAAGATATGCAGGGGGAAGGTGTTAATTAAAAGAGACTTCAAAAATATGTCCACCAATCACAATATGTAAACTTGATGTGGCTCCTGATTTTAAACAAATTGTAAACAAACATTTATAACATTTCTAAGACAGCTGGAAATTTGAACACTGTTAAAATATTTGATGACAGTAAGAAAATGTTACTAAATCTTTCAGCTGTGATAATAGTGTTGTGGTTACTTTTTTTAAGAGTATCTTTAGAGACACATATTAAAATATTTACAAATGAAATAATGTGATCTTGAATTTGCATCAAAATAGTACAGTGAGGAAATTGGACATTCATATAGATGAAACAAGATTTGTCATAAATTGATCATTGTTGAATTTCATATTTTCCATACTTTATTTTTGCTTTTTAAAAAATAGCTTTATGAGGAATAATTTATATATCAGTAAAACTTGCCAGTTGTTAAGTATAAATTTAATAATATTTTGTAAATTTGTAGAGTTGTACAATCATCACTACAATCCAGTTTTAGAACATTTCCATCACTCCAGAAAGTTTCCTTGGGCCCTCTGCAGTCTAATAAGTAGTGCACATATCTCAATTTAAAAATTCTTTATTGCTAAAAAATGCTAACCATAATCTGACAACGCAGCATTGCCACAAACCTTCAATTTGTGAAAAAAAAATGCAACACTGCAAGCAAAGCACAACAAACAAGGCATACCTATACTGTATCTGAACTGCACCCTATGCAAACAAAGTACATAATTAAGGCAAGATAACATCTCTTGCCAACTTTATGGAGGAGGAAACTGAGACTCAGAGGGTTTAAGGGACCTGACCAAGGTCATAGAGCTAGCAAGTAACTGAATTAGGACTTTTCTGGCCTCTGGTCACCTGGTGAGACACTTTCCCCACCATGCTGCGAGGCTAGCCTACCCACCATCCTTGTTCCCCCATCCCATCACTTGGTGTCCTGTCCCTCCTTCTCAGGCCTCGCTGCATTGAGCCGAACATCTGAGCTGCCGGCCATGGCTAGTCCCACAGCTTCAGCCAACTCAACTGGATACAGAACCAATGGCAGGCCTTTGTTTTCCATCTGGAGACAAAGTATCCCTTCTACTCTTTCTCCCTCAGGCTGAGCTGGAAGGGGAAGGTCAGCCACATCAGAAGTCTGGGCCCTAAGGAGATGGAGGCTAGTTTATTTTCTTTAGGACACAGAGGCAGAAACAAGATGCTCTGTGTATATATGTGCATGTGAGTGGCTCACCCGTGGGGAAAACCAAAGGAAGATGTGATCAATGGTTAGGAAGGTGGAGGAGGTCACTCATCAAGGACTCTGTCATCAGTGGCTGGCTTGCTGAGGATACAGGTGTGACTGCGTGTGAGAAGGTGCTGGGGGCACTAGTGCACAGCTGTGCACACACGTTTGCCCTGTGGTCGGTGATCTTTGGAGTTGGGCCCCTCAGAGGACAGAGATATCCTAAAATCTCCTTGCCTTCTTTTGTGTTTTTGCAACTTTAAAAATTATTATAGTGTCTGCTCTGTAACCCCATACATTGCTATTGTATAGTTATTCAGGAAGAATTCAGAAGAAAGCACCCATGGTGCTTTCCTCTGGGGAGTGGGATTGGTGAATCAGGATTCCCATTCCACTGAATATTCTCTTGTTCAATTTGAATTTTTTGTCCAATATTTGTGCAATTTTCCTAATAGAATGAAAGAGAAATCATTGTTATTACCAGTGAGCCACGCTGTGTTTGCCTGTCTTCATGAAGACCCTGCTTCTATCAGCTTAGTCTAGGGCTGAGCAGATTACAAAGTGCTATCAAATGCAAATTCTCATTTAATCCACTCATTCATTCAACAAATATTTGATAAATGTTCCTTGTGTACCAAGCACAGTTCTAGAAGCTGGGGGTACAGCAGTGAACAAAACAGATCAAAATGCCTGCCCTCCTCGGGACTTACATTCTACTGTAGAAAGACAAACACCACCACTAACAAACTGTATGGTACATGAGAGGAGGAAAGGCAAGGCAGAGAAGGTGATGGGGATGGGAGGCTGCCATATTGCAGAGGGCTCAGGGAAGGTGAGCTGAACAGACTTGGAGGAAGTGAGGGCGTGACCAGGGAACTTTCCGAGAGAAAAGGGCTCCAGGGAACAGCAAATGCAAAAGATCTGAGGCAAAAGCATGCCCAGGTCGCTAGAGGAACAGCCAGGAAGCCAGTGGGACCGCAGAGAAGTCAGTGAGGGCAATCAGTGCAGCTGGGATTAGAGAGGAAAGAGGGTCTCCAGATCCTGTAAGGGCCGGTGGGACCACTGGGGCTGGGTTTGGGGTTTTACCCCAAGTGAGATGGGAGCCATTGGAGGGTTTGGCTGAGGAGGGTCATGACCTGACTGATGGGTTCACAGGGTCACCCTGCTGGAGACCAGACTGTGTAGCAGGAAAGTGGGGAGGCTGCTGAGAGAGACGGTGGAGACTAGGAGGAGGGTGGCGGCAGTGGAGGGGCAGGTAAGCGTCAGAATCTCTAAATATTTGTCCAGGAGAACCGATAGGAGTTGCCAGTGGATTGGATGTTAGGTCTGAAGGAAAGAGAAGAGTCAAGAATGACTCCGAGGTTTGGGGCCTCCAGCTGGGAGGATGAAGTTGCTTTTGGCAGAGAAGGGGAGACCTGGGGGCGGCGGAGAGCGGTGGGTGAGGTGGGGAGGACCCCACCTTCTGCCGGGACAAGTGAAAGTTATGAATCGGGGAGGCAGTGGGTTCCCACACGTGGGTGTTGTGGGCGTCTGCAATTCACAGGTGTGGATGCTCGGGGCCGGGCGGGTCACGTGACGTGGGCGGGCGCCCCCTGGCGCGGGGAGGAGCGTGCGGCGGCGATGGCGGC